CTTCCCAAAGTGCTGGGATTAGAGGTGTGAGCCACCACACCTGGCCAGCATCAGTAATTTTTTTTTTTTTTTTTTTTTTTTAAGACATGGAGTCTCTGTCGCTCAGGTTGGAGTACAGTGGCGCCATCTCGGCTCACTGCAAGCTCCGCCTCCCAGGTTCACTTCATTTTCCTGCCTCAGCCTCCCGAGTATCAGTGATTTTGAAAAACTCCCCAGATGATTCTTCTGGATTAGAGAAGGTTGGGGCTGGGTACAGTGGCTCATGCCTATAATCGCAACATACTGGGAAACTGAGGTGGGAGAATCCTTGAGCCCAGGAATTTGAGGATGCGGTGAGCTGTGATTGTGCCAATGCTCTCCAGCGTGGGTGACAGAGTGAGATCTCATCTCTAAAACAAAAGGGGAAGATTGGGAACCACGACCTAGTAGTTAAGAGAGTAAGTACAGGGGAATTGGTAGAGAAGGATGAGACTGAAAACTCTTCTTCTTTGTTTTTTTGTTTTGGCTTGGTTTAATTTGGTTTGGTTTGGTTTTTGAGACAGGGTCTGGCTCTGTCACTCAGGCTGGAGTGCAGTGGCACGATCTCAGCTTACTGCAGCCTTGACCTCAGGCTCAAGCGATCCTCTTACCTCAGCAGCCTCCCAAGTAGCTGGGACTACAGATTTTTCTTCTTTGACAGAGATTTTCTTTTCTTTTTGCTTTTTTTGAGATGGAGTCTTGCTCTGTCGCCCAGTCCGGAGTGCAGTGGCACGATCACAGCTCACCACAACCTCCCCCTCCCGGGTTCAAGCTGTTTTCCTGCCTCACCCTCCCAAGTAGCTGGGACTACAGGCACATGCCACTATGCCTGGCTAATTTTTGTATTTTTAGTGGAGATAGGGTTTCACCATGTTGGCCAGGCTGGTCTTGAGCTCTTGACCTCAGGTGATCCGCCTGCGTCTGCCTCCCAAAGTGCTGGGATTACAGGTGTGAGCCACTATGCCCGGCCTGACAGAGATTTTCAGTTGCTTGGGCCAATATCATTTATAACATGTACTAATTCCTTGTTCTAATTTCTATTTCAGTTTAAATTTGTGGGGCTAAAGAATTTCCCTTGCACTCCCGAAAGCCTGTGTGATGTGCTGTCTATGGATTTCCCTTTTGAGGTAACGAAACCATTGTCTTTATTGCCTTGACATGATAATAGGCTGCAGAGAGACTTGGTTACACAAAGTCTTAAAATATTCCTTGATTGTGCTGTGTCAAAGCATCAGAAAGGGACTGAAAGCTGATTCTGGAGAAAGGATGTACTTGCTGCCCTTCAGAGCCTGAGCTCCACCCCTGCTGGATAAGTCAGAATGCTGGCACTGGAAGGGCCAGTGGACAGCTCGTCCAACTCCCTCATCTTACAGATGGGGACACTGAGGCCCAGATAGGAGCAAGACTCCCATGCCTAGATCCTTCTTGTGTGCCTCTTCCTACTGCAAGCTGAGACCCAGGTCCCTGGTTTGACTGTCGTGGCTGCTTATAAAGTGAAAGGGCTTCTGTGACTGAATGACCCCAACAAATGTCCAAACCCCCTAATCCTTTCATCACCAAAGAAGATGGCCCCTGGGGACGGGAGCACTTGCTGAGCAGGCGCATGAGTCAGGTGACTACCTCATTCCAGTTTGCTGACGACTCGCCCTGTTTTAGCACTGAAAGTCTCACAGCAGCCGGGCACGGTGGCTCACGCCTATAATCCCAGCACTTGAGAAGGCCGAGGCTGGTGGATCACTTGAGGTCAGGAGTTCAAGACCAGCCTGGCCAACATGGCAAAACCCCATTTCTGCTAAAAATACAAAAATTAACTGGGCATATTGGCACACACCTGTAGTCCCAGCTACTCAGGAGGCTGAGGCAGGAGAATCGCTTGAACCTGGGAGGCAGAGGTTGCAGTGAGCCAAGATTGAGCCACTGCACTCCAGCCTGGGCAACAGCGCAAGACTCTGTCTCAAAAATAAAAAGTCTCACAGCCCCAGAGGCTCCCAAGTCCTCGACAGTCTTGTCAGCCTCAGAACCTGCAGTTACCTTCTCTAGGCTCAACAAGCACATTTTCCTTTGCCCATCATTCCCTTAAAAATTCTGCCTTAGCCAGGCACAGTGGCTCACACCTGTAATCCCAGCACTTTGGGAGGCTGAAACAGGTGGATCACCTGAGGTCAGGAGTTCAAGACCAGCCTCGCCAACATGGTGAAACCCCATCTCTACTAACAATACAAAAATTACCCAGGCGTGGTGGCACATGCCTGTAGTCCCAGCTACTTGGGAGTTTGAGGGAGGAGAATCTCTTGAACCTGGGAGGTGGAGGTTGTACTGAGCTGAGATTGCACCACTGCACTCCACTCCAGCCTGGGCAACAAGAGTGAAACTCCGTCTCAAAAAAGATAAAAAAAAAACTGCCTAGTCACTGCAAGCATTTGCTTGAACTGGATTTAATTTTGTGTAAGGATCACAGCTTCCCGAATGAGGAAATGGCAAAGGCTGAGTTGCCAGCATTTCTTTCAGTCAATTAAGAAGGTGGTAAGAATACCATCTTTATTTATAACCCTTATGCCCCAGTGACAATAAATGCTTTTTAGAGATGAGTCACTAAATCATAGAAAATAAAATGTGGAGGAGGTCTTCCCGTTGAGAAAAACTGTTTCCCAGAATATGGCTCACAAACAATTTAGGGGGAGGTTTAGGCAGCCAGTGGTAGCCAGGGAAGCAGGGCATCTGGACAGCCTGTTTCCCCTGTACACAGCAGTCTGCTGCCTCAGAGGGGCCTGTCCAGTTCCTCTGCTTTTCATTCCATGCACAGAGCTCATCCACCGTAACACAGACCCCTAAGTGGTGGACAGTCCGTGGAATCTAGGGACAGAAAACCAGAGTTCAAGTTGAATTCCTGCTTCCTACTCACTGTGTGTTTTAAGGAGGTCCTCAGAACTCCCTGAGTATGAGCAGCCCCTTCTCTCAGACACCGTCATGGGTAAGATAGGGAAATAGTGGGCAGGAAAGCACTCTGTAAACAGAAAAGTGCTATTTATGTTTTTCTTTTCTTTTCTTTTTCTTTTTTTGAGACAGCATCTCACTCTGTCACCAGGCTGGAGTGCAGTGGTGCGGTCTCAGCTCACTGCATTCTCTGCCTACTGGGTTCAGGTGCCTCAGCCACCTGAGTAGCTGGGATTACAGGCATGTGCCACCATGCCTGGCTATTTTTTTGTATTTTTAGTAGAAATGAGGCCTTACCATGTTGCCTAGGCTGGTCTCAAACTCCTGACCTCAAGCAATCTGCCTGCCTCAGCCTCCAGAGTGCTGGGATTACAAGCATGAGCCACCATGCCCAGCCAATGTTTTTATTTTCTCAAATTTAGTTTTCTAGGCCATTTCTTTATTTAGAGAAACTGCATATGTGAGAAGCTGGGACTCTTTCCTCTTTCAGTGACCCAGAAAAAGGAGTTGGACCACAAGAGCTGCCCTTGTGTGTATAGGCTCTCCTGGAAACATGTGGCCCCAGAAGTCATTTTGATCCTGAATTTCCGCCCATCTTATAGGTAGATGGACTTCTCTTCTACCACAAGCAGACCCACTACAGCCCCGGAAGCACTCCCTTGGTGGGCTGGCTGCGTCCCTACATGGTATCAGATGTCCTTGGTGTAGCTGTGCCAGCTGGGCCGCTGACCACCAAGCCAGACTATGCTGGGCACCAGCTCCAGCAGATTATGGAGCACAAAAAGAGCCAGAAGGAAGGCATGAAGGAGAAACTCACACACACGGCCTCTGAAAATGGGCACTATGAGTTGGAGCACCTGTCTACTCCCAAGTTGAAGAGTTCTCCCCATAGCCCAGACCACCCTGGAAGCCTCATGGAGAATTAAAGAGGGAAGCCTCCTTAACGAGCCACAGGATGGTACCCGGCCCCAAAAGGAATCCTGGGCAGGAGGACAGTGACAACAGGTGACTTCATTCTTTAGAGTGAACTTTCCAAAGCCAGTCTGGCTGGAAACAGCTTATCTATAATCTGAAATGCTGGCTCAAACAGTTATGGGGAGGTTCCCAGATTGGGTAGCATTCAGATTGATTTGAGCAGCTCCTACTGTGATAAGTGTATCCCAGATCCACAATGTAAATATATATATGTGATTTGTAAGAAAGAACTGGTTTGTGGTTCTTAAGCTTTAGATAGCCATGAATCTCCCCTTCCCACCCCAGTCCTCTGGGGTACTTCAACCATGGCCGTTCAAGTCTTGGCCCATTTCACTCTTTTTAGACTCAAAGATTCTGCTGAGTTTCCAGTTGCTGCTGCTGAAAGGTTTTACCAGGAACTGCAATTCTGGGTATTTGAATATGTTCCCTCTTCTGAGAAGACAAGTGTGATTTTCTTTGGTTTAGACATTGCCAGAGATAAAATGCAAATGGAGTTCATTCACTCCTTCTGCAAACATTTGTGCCTACCAGGAGATAAGCCTTGTCCTAGGCCCCTGCCGAGTGGAGGGGTTATGGAGGTGGACAGGACTTAGTCCCTGCCCTTGAGGAGCTCACACTCCCATGAGAAAAGAAGCCTACCAGGACAGTTTGGGAGAAGATGCTGGAGAGATATAGGGGGCTTTAGATTTTGTGTCATGGATGAAGGGAGCTAAGAAAAAACTGAATAGGCAAGGTCCCTTGAGATTTGTAAACTAGAGCTCTTTGGCAGCTGTGAGAATGGAAGATTGTGTTGGAAACTAACTAATTAGTTTCTGCCTTGTGTTCAGGAAATGGATCCCACTTCCTGTGTCTTCAGTCGGCTCCCACATTGCTTCCCATCTTTCTAGGACTCTGTCGTGGATGCAAGTACTTCACCATTCCCTCCAGCAGCACTAGTGTCCTGTGGACAAATTTTCACAGGGGTCCAGGTCAGCTCTTGTCCGACATGCGGTGGTCCCTTTGTGTTGATTAGTTCTGGGAACAGATTCGGGCAGAGGTAGTAGTAATTTGGAGCCTGATTACACAACTTCAGTACATCCAGTGGAACTAGTCTCAGTGTCGGCTCTTAGAGAGCTGCTCAAGCTGACCTTGTAAAATTGGAGAAGGAAGATTCCCGCCTCCCACCCTCATCCATTGATGATCCTGCTGGCTGCAGATTCAAGCATTTGCCTGCATCAATAAGCTCTTTCCTGAATTTAGGTCAATTTTGCAATAGGAACATTGTGTTCCTCTTGCCAAGGAACATGTTGTAGGTGCCTAGACATTTAGTCTCTGTTTGATAATTTTCTGAGCACTCTAGTCTGTGCTGTCAGCAGCCAACTGTATCAATTCAGGAGCTGTTCATGCTAGTGTCAATAGTGACATGGCCACGCTGTGTTCAGAAATAATCAGGTCTGGAAGGACTACTTCCCCAAAGGGCGCACTCTGGAGACAGCGGCATGAATCAAAGGATATATCAGCCAAAATTATCAACAAGCACAACTGGATTTTTTTTTTTTTTTTTGAGACGGAATCTTGCTCTGTTGCCCAGGCTGGAGTGCAGTGGCACAATCTCTGCTCACTGCAACCTCCTCCTCCCTGATTCAAACGATTCTCCTGCCTCACCCTCCTGAGTAGCTGGGACTACTTGTATGCGCCACCATGCCTGGCTAATTTTTTGTATTTTTAGTAGAGGTGGGGTTTCACCATGTTGACCAGGCTGGTCTCAAACTCCTGACCTCATTATTCACCCGCCTCAGCCTCCCAAAGTGCTGAGATTACAGGCATGAGCTACTGCACCCAACCCACATCTTGATATTTTTGAATGGTAGCTTGAAGGACCTATCTCAGAGTGCCCCTTACATTTTTAACTGAGGAGCCAGTATTATCTATTGATCATTGAATAGCAGTGTGTCCCCTGGTCATATTTCTCTCA